TTGACCAGCCTCAAGCCAGGGAAGCAGGACGGTCTGCCTAATGAAGAAGCTGGTGCGTCAGGCAGTGGCCATGAGTCTGTGGGGCACGAGGAGCTCATAAAGATGCTGATGGGAGCCTTTATTGGGAGATGCTGCGACAGTGACTATGGGACTTTTTAAAAAAAGATTTATTTATTTTATTTGAAAGGCAGAGTTAGGGAGAGAGAGAGGGAGAGAGAGGGAGAGGGAGATCTTCCACCCACTGGTTCACTTCCCAAATGGCTGCAACAGCCAGGGCTGGGCCACAGTGAAGCCAGGAGCCAGAAGCTTCATCTGGGTCTCCCATGTGGGTGCAGGGGCCTAAGCACTAGGGCCGTCCTCTGCTGCTCTCCCAGGTGCATTAGCAGGGAGCTGGATCAGAAGCGGAGCAGCCGGGATATGAGCCAGCGCCCATCTGGAATGCATGTGTCACGGGCTATATCATGATGCCGGCCCCAGGACTTTTCAAAGCAAGGGTGCCTTATATCCCACTTTAAGCTACAGTCTGAGTGTGAGCCCAGGACCTCACAAAACCCTCAAACTCAACTCCCAGTGTTCCTAAGTCTGTCATCTGCAGTCCTGTGCTGAAGGAATCAGAGTGGCCCCAGTGGGGGTGTGATGATGTGTATGGAACAAGGAAAAGCTCTTCCATAAACCAGACTAAATTGGGAGATACCGGAGTTCAAAGCAGGGGGTGTCGGGGGGAAGCAGGACCCCCCCCCCCCGACCCGAAGTCCTTGGAGGAGTGTGGAGAGTGACGTGGGGGAGGAAGGGAGGAGAGCTGAGCCTACAGGCTGGAGTGGTGCAGCGGGCACAGGCGCAGTGGGTGCAGGGGACTCCATGAAGAACCAGTGGGATCCGCACATCAGGACCCCAGTCTGTTGTCGTACGTAAGATACGAATATGTGCGTGTCCCTTCTCCAGTGACTTACTCCCTGTAGTCAGAGGATCAGGGGAAACCAAACACACAGATGCTTAACTCGCGACTCTCCGGCCAGTGGGTGATCCAGGGAACAGGGCCTCTTGCTGTCCGTGGCCAGTAGGCTGCTGAGGCCCATGCTGTGGGGGAACAGTGTCAGACTGGACCAGCACCAGGCAAGTGCCCTGGAGCTCAGCCTTCTGGGGCCTGCAAGTCCTGAGGCCCAAGCGACTGGCATCTTAACCAATGAACCTGCTGGGTAACTCATGTGTCGTTGGCTCAGCTTCCAAATTTGAGTTTGCACTACGAAGTTCAAAGAACTCGCTCATATTATTAACACAGTTTGAAGGGCTGTTGGGATTTTCACTTAAACTATGAGTGGTCATTATAACAAAGTATCTGGGAGAGCAATTTCTTGGAAAATGTTTCACTTACATGTGTGAACTGTGATTGGCATAGGAGGTTCTCGTGCTGGCAACAGCCCCATAGAGTGCTTCAAGTCGGCTTCCAGTCGTGTGGGGCAGAGACAGGTTAGGGTCTTTTAGAACCGGTGTAACTCTAAAGGCATTTCCTCACTGTGAACAAAGTTGTCTTATAGGCAGAATACAGTGACAATAGCAGAGTAACTTTAAAACACAGTGAGGGGGCCGGCACTGTGGCGAAGCAGGTAAAGCCACTGTCTGCCATGCCCGCATCCCATATGGGCACTGGTTGGAGTCCTGGCTGCTCCACTTCTGATCCAGCTCTCTGCTAAGGCCTGGGAAAGCAGTAGAAGATGGCCCAAGTCCTTGGGCCCCTGCATCTGTGTGGGAGACCCAGAAGAAGCTCCTGGCTCCTGGCTTCAGATTGGCACATCTCTGGCTGCTGTAGCCATCTGGGGAGTGAACCAGTGGATGGAAGACCTCTCTCTCTCTCTCTCTCTGCCTCTCTCTAAATCTGCCTTTCAAATAAATAAGTAAATAAATCTTACACACACACACACACACACACACACACACTGAGATTCAGAGCAAGACGCAGTGGCATTGTTTTCCAACCTCGAGTCCCCTCACAGAACTCAGCAGACAACCAGGATAGCAAAAAACAGTGGAGTAGAGAGGGTAGAACAATAAAATAGTCAACAAACTGGGCATAGAGGGCACTTCCTCCCCCTCACAGTAGACATTTTATTAAGAAACCACAGCTAAAAATCATACTTAATACCGATAGACTGAAAGTTTTCCTTCTTTTTTAAAATTAATTTATTTTTATTTATTTGACAGAGTTATAGACAGTGAGAGAGAGACAGAGAGAAAGGTCCTCCCTCCGCTGGTTCACTCCCCAAATGGCCACTATGGCTGGCGCAGAGCGCCGATCCAAAGCCAGGAGCCAGGTGCCTCCTCCTGGTCTCCCATGCGGGTGCAGGGCCCAAGCACTTGGGCCATCCTCCACTGCACTCCCGGGCCACAGCAGAGAGCTGGACAGGAAGAGGGGCAACCGGGACAGAATCCGGCACCCATATGGGATGCTGGCGCCACAGGTGGAAGATTAACCAAGTGAGCCATGGCGCTGGCCCTGAAAGTTTTCCTTCTAAAACCAGGAACAAGACAAGGATGTCTGTTCTCACCAGTCTGTTAAGAAGTGTACTGGACGTTCTAGCTGGGGGCAATTAGGCAAGAGGGCAAAAGAAAACCACCCACATTGGAAAAGAAGTGTAATGAAAATGAAGTATTGCTTCAGACCCACCAGAATGGCCAAGATCAAACAAACAGAAAACAACAAATGCTGGTGAGGATGTGGGGAAACTGGAACCCCGTGCCCTTTTAGTAGGAATATAAGTGAGGCAACCATTATAGAAAGCAGCATGGAGTTTCCGCGGAGAATTCAAAGTAGAACTGCCACGTGAGAGGCCAGAGCCACGCCATGACATGCTTCTCGCCAGACAAAGAACTGGCTAGGCCCGGGACACTTCCGCTGCGCCGAAACCTGACACTGGGCAGTCCTTGGTCAGGCAGGGCCAAGAGGGGGCAACCAATAAGGTGGGCCGTCCTTGGTCCAGCAGGGCCGGGGAAAGGAGGGAATGCAGGTGTAATACTTGTTTGCCCGGGGACTGTAAAAGCCCTGGGAACCAGGAGAAGGGGGTCTTGTCTCCCAGCACTGCTGTACGGGAGGCCAGCCCCAGCGTGCTGGACCTGCAAATAAAGTCCCTTTGTTCTTCACATTTCGGTGAGTCTCGCTGGTTCTTTCTCTGGGCGATCCGGAACACAACCACCACAGGATCCAGCAGTCCCGTTTCTGGAATTTTACCCCGGAGAACGAAAACAGGCTCTCAGAGACCTCTGTGCCCCCGTGTTCATCGCAGCATCGCCCGTAACAGCCGAGAGGCAACGGAACCCTCTCTGTTCTGCCTGGGAAGTTCCTCCCGTTCTGCGGAGTCTTCGGGCAGCACGTGCAAAGCTCTGTCATCTCCTAACAAATACCCCGACTCCCACTGCACAAGAAAAGGGCCAGCCAAGACTGTCCCCTCCTGGCCCCTCCCGGCCCCTCCTGTCTCCTGGCCCCTCCCGTCCCCTCCCGGCCCCTCCTGGCCCCTCCTGTCTCCTCCTGTCTCCTGGCCCCTCCTGGCCCCTCCCGTCCCCTCCCGTCTCCTGGCCCCTCCCGTCCCCTCCCGTCCCCTCCTGTCCCCTCCTGTCCTGTGTTCTCTTCAAGAGAGCTCTGCCCCATCACAGCAGGGAGACTTCCCGACAAGGTTACCATGTAGCCGAATCTAAAGGCCACTTCCTTTCTTTTTTTCAAGATTTATTTGAAAGAGTTGGAAAGCGAGTGAGAGACATCTCCCATCTGCTGATTCACTTCCCAAATGCCAGCAATAGCCATGTCTGGACCAAGTCAGAACCAGGAGCCAGGGACTCCAGCCAGGTTTCCTACATGTGTGGCAGGGCCCAAGTGCTTGTGCTGTTTTCTCCTGCCTTCCCAGGAGCATTAATAGGATGGGAAGGGGAGCAGCTGGGACTGGAACAGGTGCCCCCACATGGCTGCTGGTGCCACAAATAGAGGCAAACTGCCCCCCCTTTTTACTGTAAAAAAGATGAATATATTTGAATGGCAGAATGACGGGGGCTGGGTGGGAAGGGAGAGGGAGAGAGAGAGGGAGAGAGAGAGAGAGAGAGAGGCCTGCAAAAGCTGGGGCTGGACCAGCCTGAAGCGGGGAACCCAGAATTCCATCTGGGTCTCCCAGGTGGGGGACAGGGACTCAAGTACTTGAGGCATCACTTGTTACTCCCCAGGTGCATTAGCAGGCAGCTGGATAGAAAGTGGAGCAGCCGGGACTCAATCCAGTGCTCCCATAAGGGATGCGGGGGTTGCAAGTGGCCGGTTCCTCTCCTCCCTTTGACTCAGTCTCGCAACGACGTGCCCCTCAGCTGACCATACTCCCCTTAAAATACTTCCTTCTCTAGGTTTCAACGATGCCACCATCTGTCCATGAGTGACCTCAAGCAGGTGGCTCGCTTTAATTATTTATATTTTAAAGGCTCCTAAGTGTATTTTTTGATCCTGGGTTCTATATCCACACTCGGCCTCCTGGAGGTGTCGAAGGTGGCTCGGACGGGACATGGTGAAACAGAACGCTCAGTTCCCACCTGCTCAGGCGTCGACCTCCCTCAGCCCGATGAACCGGGCCTCTGCCTGCCCAGCGTCCCTGCCCAACCCTGGTGTCATACTCTTGTGGAAAACAGACTGCGCACTGACTGCCCTCAGGAGTCGCTTACTCATATTGTAGTCACCTGTTCTTACAAAGCAGCGTTTCTTTAATGAGATGGAATTCTTCTATTGTGTTTTTAGTCCCCACATTAATCTGCAGGGCACTTGCCATTCCCTCTTCCTCAGACTCCAGCTCCCTCTCACGTCTGAGGTTCCGTCTGAAAAGCCACTCCACACAGAACTTGTTTGCGGTTGGCCTAGCTCTGCTGTCGCCCTGTTTTATTTCCTCCTGGGATTCCGCATGCCCTAAGCGTCTGGAGTATGGAAAGTTGCCTGCGAGCAAGGCACCTGCTGTGCTCACTGCTGCATCGGTAGCACCCGGCACGCTTCACGGCCACGGTCAAGGATGTGGCAAACGACAGAATCTCGCAGGACTTTCCTATTCTCAGGGCTCAGTGTCCTTATCCTCAAACGAGGCAGCTGGCTGGGGCTGATGTCCTGCTCCGACTCCGTTCTCATGCTCTGTGCCCACCGACGGGTCCGTGCAGTAACTGCTCCCGCAGCCCAGACTCTCGTTCTGCCAAGCACCGTGCAGGGGACAGGGTTAAAATGCCGAGCCTCAAACCGTGGCACATCTGAGACCCACGCTTCTTAGTGCTCCGGTGCCAGGTAAGCAGCCCGGGTCAGACACTGAAATGGGAGATGCATTTCTCACAAAGTTGTCTTGTGAGATACCTGGAGCGCTGCACTTCCACTACGCTCGATACAGCCTCAGAGCAGCCTGCCGTGTCATCACCTCCTCCCCTCTCTCACGAGGAAGCCGTGACCTAAAGTCACGCACCAGTGGGAAGACCAGGATTCTACTGAATGGACCCCTGCCCCAGGAGGGCATCCCCTGGCAATATCCTAGGTCCTGGGTAGAAGGACCGGGGGGCAGGGCCCAGGGCAGACCCAGGAGCTGGGGAAGGGAGTCTGTGTGGGGCCTGTGTGGTCACCTGGGATGTGAACAGAAGCAGCAACTGCCTAAGCATGGACAAAGCCAGTGGGTGCCAGGGCAAGGGGGAGCCACAGCAGGCTGCGGCAGAGGCTATGGGAGCCGGGGGGCCAGGAGGGCAGGCCTGCGTGGAGGGGTAGCTGGCGAAGGCTTTTGGAGGTCACTTACTACAATGGTTCCCAAGCGAGGCCTCAGAGAACACTGGGGTTTTGAGTGTTGGATTACATGGGAAAAAATATATTCTAGGTTTCTCTCCAAACAAACAAGGTGCATTAAATTCACAAGGATCTGTTCCCTGTGGAGTCTTATTTGGTCTGCGCCTGTTCTTACTGCTCTCCACTGGGATCTGGGTCAGGGACAGAAGCCGACTCGGCACAAGGTCAGATGAACAGCCTTACATTTAATCAATCAACATCACATCCAACTGCATAACCCTCAGGTGTGTGGACACCTGCCAGAGAGGAGAGCCCCGCCTCTGTCCCTCCTGTGGGTGGCAGCCCGAGGGCTTGTCCCCAGCGGTGCAGGCCACGTCGCCGTCCAGCAGGCTTTTGAGTCCTGGGCAGAGACACGGCCCCTTCAGGCCTTCCCTTGAAGGGCACCTGAGCCTGTGCAGGCAGGTAGAGTTTTTGCGGGCACAGCACCAAGTGAGACAGCCGGGCCAAGGTCTCGGAGGCATGGCCCATGCTCAGGCAAAGAGGCCCCGTTCCCAGAAGTGGCTGGAGCCAAGGGGACAGAACAGGAGCAGCCCCTGGGAATGCACCATGAGGGGCAGAGGGGGGAACGCTGACAGCCATCCACCAGCGGAGAACACCGGAGCACAGGCACACCAGCCCAGGGCCTCCCTGGTGTCATTCATTTGCTAGGCAGGTGGCAGTGCTGAGGAGCGAGGGGAGCTGAGTGGGCTGCAGGCAGGTCCAGCAGTCCTGGGGAGGGCTCATCCAGCAGTGTGGCGGAGGACACATGGGGTAGGAAACAAGGGTGAGTGCAAATACGAACGTCCCACTCAGGCCAGCAGGACTCGGGCCCAGGGGACGGAGAGAGACGGGAAGCGCGAGACCTGGGAGGGGACAAGAAAGAGGCAAAGGGTGAGGCCCCGGGTGAGTGGGAGCATGGGAGCAGGTCAGTGCTGGCCCCCAAGGCTGAGGCCTGGCATCTGAGCCTGGGCAGACCCGACAGGGCGAGGGGCCTGGCCCTAAAGCACCTGCTGTGTAACCTACGCCGACTCACAGCCCCGGCTCTGCTCGGTGACAGGCAGTGACTGCTGCAGTGACAGCTGACTCACTCGGGGCACAGGGAATTGCAGTGCCCGGATGTGCAAAGCGCTGACCAGGGAAAAAAAGAGACACGGGAAGCCGGGCCCCCGCCTGGAGACCCCGAGGCGGCGGTGGTCGGGGGAGGTCAGCAGTGCCCTCGTGGAGCAGGGTCCGTCCCCCTGGACACTCACCGGGTCACTGCCATTCCAGGAGTGGCAGCTGTTCCAGGAGCATGTCCTCCGTGCTGTTGAACTGAGGGAGAGAGGGAACAGCTGGAGACCAGGGCCTGGCAATTCTGCTTCCCTCACCCCAGCCCGGAGCAGCAGGTGCAGCCCAGTGAGGCTGCCCCTCGTCCCACCAGCCGTCAGCCCGTGATCGCCCGCCCCAGGGGGCTTCCCATGGCCAGGGGGCCTCGGTGAGAGACCTGTTCATCCAGGTCTAAGTTCCCTCTAAGCTGGCTTCTAAAACACCACAGGTGGAAATGCCCCCGCTCGGCTTTTGCAGCTGGGAGGGAGGAACAGCTGCAACAGGGGCCAGAGGTGGCGGGGCTGGGGGAGGAGCGCAGGGCCGCCCAGGTCTCCCAATTGGCCCCTGGGGAAAGCCACGCTTGCCTTGATGTGGTATACAACGTGCCAGAAACTGGAGTCGGAGCCGCGGTATCTCCTTTCGGGGTAGAGCTGCCACATGAAGGGCAGCACGTTAGGAGCCAGGTGGTTGGGGCTCACGGCTTCCCCCAGGGGGACGTCTTCCTGGCGCAGCAGCACCTGCAGGCTGCTCTCTCCCTGGAGAGAAAAGACCAGGGCGTGTCTGCCATTTCCACTTGCCGGGGCCCCTCCAGGCACAGATCACCGGATCCCTCCTGCCACCCACAGGCCCGGCCCTTCAGGCCTCCTATTTCTGTGCCTGCCACACTGCCGCCTGGTGTCCCCTCTGTCACACTGACACTGGTGTCCCCTCTCCTGCCACGCTGCTGCCTGGTGTCCCCTCTGTCTGCCACGCTGCCGCCTGGTGTCCCCTCTGTCACACTGATGCCTGGTGTTCCCTTTGCCTGCCGCGCTGCCGCCTGGTGTTCCCTGTCACACTGATACTGGTGTCCCCTCTCCTGCCACGCTGCCGCCTGGTGTCCCCTCTGTCTGCCACGCTGCCGCTGGTGGCCCCTCTGTCTGTCACACTGACACTGGTGTCCCCTCTCCTGCCACACTGACACCTGGTGTCCCCTCTGTCTGTCACACTGATGCCTGGTGTCCCCTTTGCCTGCCACGCTGACGCTGGTGTCCCCCTGTCACACTGACACTGGTGTCCCCTCTCCTGCCACGCTGACGCTGGTGTCCCCTCTGCCTGCCACGTCCTCCACAGATCTACAAAGGAGCGCATCCCTGGTGAGCCCAACCCTAGGTCTGCTAAGGACAAACATGTGGAACCACAGGACAGCGTGCAGGCCACAGCTACCAGCGACATCAAGAACTGAAAATCCCTTGCATTGATGCAAGGGCAAGAAGACTTCAGCAAAATCTAACGATGCGACACGTGCTGCGGGTTTGCCCTAAACAGAGACTCCACAGAGAACAACTGAAGGGAAGAGACACACACACGACGGGCGGACGGGCACGGGCAGACACAGACTGCCGGGGGTCCTGCCCGAACCCACTCATCTCCTAGTGGACTCGGTCGCCCGGGCGGTGAGGATGCTACCCCATTTGCCGCAAACACCCTCAGCCTAGAACCGAGTCGGCACTGGCGTTTGTCCAGTGGGTATTTTCCAAAAGTGGGAATGGCTTTTTAAAAGAATTCTATGAAATAAATAAAAACTCACCATTAAAAAAGGATTCTCTTCAAAGTGCAAAGTGTAAGCGTGGAAACCACCCCCTTTCGCCATCGGTGTGTGGTCTTCTGTGTCCTGGTGCCATCTTTGGTTTGTTCATCTTTTTCTCGCTGATTTAAGTAGTATTAAGAATACTACTCCTTCTGATTATGGGAGGGGCACTCACGTTCACTGCTGGGTTATTTTTTGAGCAGCATTTTTCATGATTATGTAAAAATTCTGTCTAGTTTGTGGTTCAATGAGAAGGTAGATATTCCACAACCAGAGATGAAGAAGAAACAATCACCGGATTTTCTCCAGGTAATTGACCGGGGTTCATATTCGCTTTTGAAAGGGGGGGGGGAAGGGGGCGCCGTGGCTCACTTGGTTAATCCTCCACCTGCAGCGCCAGCATCCCATATGGGCGCCAGGTTCTAGTCCCGGTTGCTCCTCTTCCAGTCCAGCTCTGGGAGGGCAGTGGAGGATGACCCAAGTCCTTGGGCCCCTGCACGCACGTGGGAGACCAGGAAGAAGCTCCTGGCTCCTGGCTTCAGATCGGCATAGTTCTGGCCATTGCAGCCATTTAGGGGGTGAACCAACGGAAGGAACACGAAGACCTTTCTCTCTGTCTCTCTCACTGTCTATAACTCTCACCTGTCAAATAAAAAAAATTAAAAAAAAAAGAAAGTGCACGTACGTATTTAAAAAACCAAGTGTCAGAAAATGCCAGCTGAGGTAGCTGAGAGCGGGGGCCGGGCCGCAGGGGCTGGGGGCCGGTACCGGGGGGCTCACACTCTCGCCCCCCCGGCCTGCTGGCTCTGACGGTCTGCAGTCGTCCTAGCGTTACTTTTTAGTTCTGCTTTTATACTTTGTTCAGTTTATCGGTGGAGAGGTTGTTCTTTTTTTTGCCTTGGATTTTCTGCGTGATTAGCAAGTCCGGATGACAGCAGGTTCCGACCTCCGGGGGCGTCGGGCCGCCGAGGCCCGCCCTGGTCTTCCTCGGGGGGCTCCTGACCCAGGTAGCGCCCCCTTTACCGCGCTGGCCCCGAGGACAGCGAGACCCCGGCTGTGCACCAGCGCCGCTCTCTCCCTCTGGAGATGCTCGGAGCCCAGGCAGCTGCACCCGGGCGAGTCCCGCACCTGCCGGGCGGCTTCCCGCCTCTCCCCGGCCCCAGAACCCCCGTGCGCCCCGACAGCCCGCTGCGAGCGCTCCCCCCTGGCTGCCCTCGGGCCGCCCGGCCTGCCCCGGGGCCGGCTGTACCTTGATGATGATGGGCAACCAGGTGCGCCGCTTCTCATCCATGTACACTGCCTTGTCCCAGATCCACAGGCGGCTGGGGTGCACCCCCAGGTGCGCCCCTAAGAGGAGGTTCTCGGCCATGGCACCCAGGGCGGTCTGAGAAGCCGGACTCCGAGCCTCCCGAGGCCACTCGCCGACCCTCGGTGCGCAGAGCCCCCGCGCTTTAAAGCGTGATCGCAGGTGCTGCCCCCTAGCGGTGGGGCAGGAGGGGCGGGGCGCCGGGCCGGATGGGGCGGGGCGCCAGGCCGGATGGGGCGGGGCGAGCTGCAGGATCTCGTGGCCGCCGTGCGCCAGGGCTTCTGGAAGCGTCTGGGGCTCCGGTGCGGCCCCGCAGGCGCTGCTGCCCGGAGCGGGAGCGGTGTGGTGGCCCTGCGGTGGGGCGGCTCGGGCTCGCCCCGCCGCCGCGGGCGTGCAGGTCGGCCGCTGTGTGCGGCTGCCGGCCCCGGGCTCTGGCCCCGCGTGGAGCGCCGTCGACGCCGGGCCGCCCGGAGCCCGGAGCCCGGCCTGCGAGGCCGGAGCAGCCCCGCGCCCCTGGGCCTGGCGTCCCGGGTGCGCGGAGCGTCCGCAGCCCGCGCCTGTGGGTGCCGGGGTGCGCTCTCTCGGCGGAGCGCCCCGCGCGCCAGGCTGCTTTTCCGCGGCTTTGATGGTGCTGTGGGCCTCTAATAGCCGTTGCGAAACGCGGTGAGGAAACAGGGATTTTTCCCCCCTTTATGCCTCGACTTCGTTAATGATCGCGTAATTTACAGTGAATACTTGAAAGGAAGCGCCTCCCTCCACCCGCCCCGAGAGCAGTGCATTGGAAAAGCCCTCGGATGATGATGCCGAAACCGTCTCTCTCCAAATTACAGCCGCCGAGGAGAACAGTTTGACTTCATTTGCTACTAACGAGTGCCCATTAAGGCAATTAAAGCGAGGCCCGAGGAAAACACGCAGACCCAGCTCCGGGCTTGCGGCCCCGACACCCCGCTGGTGTCCGGTGCCCCTGGCCCTCAAGCACGAAGGCAACGTTCGGCCTTGCAGTGTCGCGGCAGTGCAGAGGAGGGGCCGCGTGGGGAGCCCTGACCGCTGGGCCTGCGGGGTCCGTCTCTGCTCTCCGGACGGTGGAGGGAGAGGCACGGCCCAGCAGCGCAGACCTGATGGTGCTGGTGTCAACGTTGGAGCTGCCGCTTCTCGGGCTGCGTGCCCTGCGGACGGCTCTAGACTCCAGACCCGGATAGCCCCTGGCAAGATGAAAACCTCGGTAATAAGCTCTGTTGGGAAAGTCTCAGGCTTGCCCAGAGCTCTGAGGTCGAAGTGATGAACAAGTCCAGTTTTAAGCAGTGCTGCTGGCACGGCCTTTCGTGGCCAGGAACGGGGGCCCCCAGGAGCCAGCGTGGCCGCTGACCCGGCCACAAGGACGCCTCCAGGACCCGGGATGCCCCTGGAATTGCCAGTTTCTTTTGCACTCCCTCTGCTTCTGTCAGCAGGGGGAAGGAACCCTGCAGGAAGAGCCGGATCCCCTTGGCTGGGTGAATTTGTAAGTGTTTGGGGAATATGGCTCCTTTCTGCTTAATTTCCTCACTTTTGCATGAGGGCGTCTTAATATTGAGCAAGAGTATACATCACTCTTTTGTGGCATTCAGAAAGTCATTTGGGAAGGGGTTCCAAAAAATGGAAATGTAATAAGGATGCCCCGCGGTTTCTCGGGCAGCTTCGGAGGAGGTCTTGCACTTTCTTCATTGACATTCCAGGGAGAGGGGGGCCAGCAGCTATTGTGTGCCTCCGACACAGGCCAGCCTCCCCAGCCTGTCGTCTGCCCAGCAGGGCTCTGACGCCAGTCAGCCTGACCGTGGGCTTTCCCTTCCTTCCTGAGTCTTTGTGAATCCCGGGTGGGTGAGCAAGGGCCTGTTGGTGAGGGGAGTGGCAGGCAGCCGTCTGTAACTGATGCTCTCGTGTCTTAACGGGATCTCGTCACACGTGGCAAATCCTTGGTGCTGTACTTTGGTAATGCGCGGGCCAGGCCAGCCGCATCCTGAGCCCATGTCTCCACGGGCAGCCCCTGCTGCTCCAGCCCTATCGTCCTGGGAGACGGGAAGCGCCCTGTTGCCAGGGGCCCCTGTGGCGCTCACTCTTCAGGAGCGGGGAGGCCATCTTTCTGGTCTGGTTCCCAAGAGTGAGTGCTGGCTGGCAGGATGCTCCAGCCTTGGTGCGCCGAGCCTGGTGCCTGGAGCGCGCAGGGGCTGCAGAATCTTGAGCCCTTCCCAAACCCCTTTGAGTCAGAGGCCGCATTATAATAGGGCCCCCAGGTGGGGCGGGGGAACCCGGTGTCCTCGGGTCTCCCTGAGTAGACTCGGGGCGTCGCAGTGTGTCCCGTGTCCTTTAGTCCTAGGCTGTCTTGCTGTCACCCTCGCTGCAAAGGTACAAAGTGTTTTCACTTTGGAAGAGAACCCTGGTGACCAGAGTCATCCCAGCAAACCCTTGGCTCTGGTGCGGTGATTGCTTTAGGCTGTAACGCGCCTCTTCCGAGGTTCTCCAGGTGCCCCGGCTTCTGGGCGCTCCGCTGACTGGCCCTGAACCACCGAGCATCACCTGGGAAGCTCTAATCCACTTCCTGTGCCTGGATCCCACCCCAAAACAATTAGATCGAGGCTTGGGAGGTACTTTATTTTTTTTTTTTTTTCCCTTTTCCCCTTGCAAAACGGACTCCTCAGTGATTCTGACAGACTGGGTTGACTGTCACTTCTCTGAGATTGGAGTCACTGGTTCTGAGGTGTGAATAGATGTGCAAAACTAAATAACCATGAAAATGTCAAAGCTATTCTTTCTCCCATCAATCCTCATTGTAAACTTCACCCCAATCCCATATTTTATTTCTTTCCCTTTGCCCTTCTTTAAATTTGCTGATTCCAATCTTCAGTGGGCAGGGAACCATAACGCCAAGTTTATTAGACTTGCGAGTGTTTGATCTTGCCAGAATGCGAGGTACAGAGGTCCTCATCAGTAAATACTGAGGCATCTGTGCTGGTGCCTGGAGGGGTTCGTTTTGTTTGATTCGTTTTTTGTTATTCCTGGGTCTGGGCCATTTTCTAGATAATTAAGACTTCTGATCAAGTGAGCTCAAGCTAAAAAAGATGTTGTAGTCTTTACTCGTAGGGATGAAGTGGTATCCCTATATTAGTAGAGAATCTGGGACAAGGATATTCCAAGTAGAGTTCGGGATCCTAGCTTTGCCCACCGCATAGCTACCATCCAGCTCTGTAAACTTAACTGTTTTCTGTAAGTTGAACCGGTTCTCCAACTTTAAGGCATATATAGCGATCTTGTTAAAATGTGAACTGTAATTTTTAGAGTTGGCCCAGGCCTCGAGATTCTGCATTATTAGCATGCTCCAAAGTAAGGCTGGTGGTAAGGGTCTGTGACCTGGTTCTGAGTGGCAAGACCCTGTACTAACCCCTGCCCCAAGTCCATACTCACAGCACAAATGAGAACACAAATCACAACCCAAAGGTATTCAGACTGTCCCAAGTAGTCGAGAAGCTGGCGAGTGAGCAGCATGTGGTAGAACTGCAGTGGGCTCCTTGAACCAGACGGTGGCTTCCCCTTGGCCAGAGGCGAGTTAGCCTTGACCTGAATCCATATCAGAAGCGCAGCTCAGCCCTGGGATGACTGCGACCCCGGGCCCTCTGTGATTGAGGGTGGCTCTGCTTGTTCCACCCTCAGATCTTCAGATTTCTTGTTGGTAGATGTTTTGTTCTTCCTAGAAAATTGTCTCATCATCTGCACACTTTTAGCATAAACTGAGGTAAATATTTAGACTGTGCACTACTTTTGGCTTTCATAGTCATTTAACTTTCATTTAAAAATATCTCTTGACCTATCTTTTCATTTTTAAGGATTTTTCAATATTGAATTCCAGCTAATTAACTTGTTGTGGGGCTCATGTTAATATGCAAGGTCCATACATAGACTTCATGTATACCAGGTAGCAGTCTGGCTGCCTCTTAATTTTTCTAAATATTTACCAATCTCTTACTGTGGAATAATCTACCTTTCCACACCAGACTTCTCACGCCATTACTGTTCACACCAGATGTTTACGTAGTAACAGGTCTGGGCTCTATTCCATCTCATTTGTTTGTTCCTTTGGTAAAACTACACCTTAAGAAAACTACAAATTTGATTTGAAGTGGGTAGGCCTTCCTTTTTTGTTCTTTTTCAGAATTGTTTTAGCTGTTCATGAACTTTTGCATCCCTGAAATTCTTCCTGATACTTTTGGGATTTTTATCCATTTTCATTGAATTTATGCACTTGAAGGAAATCTGATTTTTTGATATCATTTTATAATATCTTCATGAAAGCATTACACATTTTATTTAGTGTATTTCTAGATATGTTATAGTTTTGTTGATTTTCTGAATGGCATTTTTAAAAATTATTGTACTTATTTGAAAGGCAGAGAGTCAGAGAGGGGTTTTTCATCCTCTCCAGTGCTTGCAACAGCTGGGACTGGATCAGGCCAGTGTGAGGGGCCAGGAGCTGAGTCAGGGTCTCCCAAGTGGGCGGTGCTACTTGCTGACTCCCGAGGCGCCCATCGTCAGGCAGCGGAGCTGGGACCTGAACCTAGGCATTCTGGTGTGGGATGTGGGCGTCCCGAGTGACGTCTTTAATTGCCATGCCACTCATCGCTGTTGTGTTAATACTGGTTTTTTTGATGGTACTTCCTGGCGTGAAGGAACGCTGATGGATTTCGTTGTTGATCTCCTGCATCCTTGCTGAACTCTACTCAGTGTTAGTGATTAGTTTATCTGAATGACAAGATTTTTTTCATTCTTTTCACCCCTTATATTTTCCTGTGTCTCTCTCCGTCTCCGTCTCCAGCTCTTCCTGTTTCATTGCCCTCGAGTGTTTGTGTGAATAGTTTAATCCTAGGTGCCAGTAGCAGCAGTGTCTGTAGTACGTTTGGCGGTGACCGTGATGTGCCTGTAGGTTTTGGCGGATGTGTTTCATCCGGCCCGGGCTGGGCTGCCTTTCCCGGGCTGCTGCGTTCCTCAGGGCCTGTTGAATTTTCCTGGTGCCTCTTCCGTGTCTGTTGAAGTTACGTTTGCTGAGAAGCAGGTGCCGCAGGCTGCCCACCCGGCACTCACTCCCCTCCTGGCTGCTGAGCCCTCCTGGGGTGGGGCGGGGACTTTATCTCCAGCCTCTTGAAATAAATGACTGTGCGGGTGGCCTTACCCTGAATGCGGGTAAATCCTGATTTCTCTGAGGCAGGTCTTGTTGTTGTCACATGCCTCTGCCCTGGTTGATGGGACCCAGCAGTTTTTCTGTAGATCTAGAAAGTGCTCAGCGACTGTTTCTTCAAGTGCTGTCTTTTTTTCATTCTGTTTATTTTCGTCTTTTGAAATTCTGATTAAATAGGTGTTTGAATTTCTGCAGTAGTCCCCTGTGTCTAAGCTTATCTTTATTTTTCCCCTTCTCTGTCTTTCAGCTGCTACTTCCTGAGCCATGTCCTTAGGCTGATGTTCCTGTTAGTGTGGTGAGTTCCTCTTTACCAGTATCCGTGTGACTTATCAATTGAGGCTTTCTTTTCAGGAATTATATTTTTTATTTCCACAAATTTTTAGGAGTAGACAGATGAAGAATACAGTTTTAAAGCTATTAGGAAGAAAGCATAGTTTTTCCATGACCTTGGTGAAGGAATGTATTTTTTAGAAACTAAGATATAAGACCCACAAGCAAAGTAAATATCAGTAGAAAAAATGGGCAAAGGATATGAACAAGAAATTCACAAAATAGGAAATACAAATGGCCATTAATTTTATGAGACAGTGTTCAATTTTGTTAGATGAAGACATACAGATACAACTATATGACATTAACTTTTTCTTATCAGGTTGAGGAAGAATAAAATGATGATGTCACATGTTAGTGAGAACTTGGGGAAAATTACTTCTGTAGTGACTGGTGCACTGAAATTAGTGTTTCTACTTGAGAGAGCATTTTAAGAATATCTACTGCAGCTGGCGCTGTGGTGTAGCAGAGCCGCTGCCTGCAGTGCCGGCATCCAATACCGGCACCAGTTCAAGTCCTGGCTGCTCCACTCTGATTCAGTTCTCTGCTCTGTTTTACCAAAACGAGCCAGGGAGCATTTATCGAGTGCCTGCTGTATGCAAAGCATGCACGATCAAAGAGACAGTGCAGTTCCTCCTGAGTCACGCGGGGGTGGTGTCAGCACACAAAAATATGACCTTTACCCCCTGCCAGGAAAGAGCTGCTCACCGATGCTTGCAGAAGGTCCAGGAGGTGGTGAGGCAGGGCCATCAGCCACGTGGGATTCAGAGTTGCCGCTGGGGCCGCTGCTGTGGTGTAGTGGGTAAAGCTGCTGCCTGCAGTGCCGGCATGCCATATGAGTGCTGGTTTGAGCCCTGGCTGCTCCACTTTCAATCCAGCTCTCTGCTGTGGCTGGGCCCCTGTACCCGCGTGGGAGACCAGGAAGAAGCTCCTGGCTCCTGGTTTTGGATCAGCCCAGCTCCACCTGTTGTGGCCATCTGGGGAGTGAACCAGTGGATGGAAGACCTCTCTCTCTCTCTGCGCCGCTGCCACTGCCTCTCTGTAACCCTGCTTTTCAAATAAATAAATCTTTTTTTTAAAATATCTACTAAAAAGTGAAAATCATCCACACTTATCTCTTATGACCCAGGGGAAGATTACACTTCTATGGAAGGAGAATCAGCTGTGTTTTCTCACGAGACAATGAGTAAACAGCCTGTGCTGCACTCACCGAATGCAGTGCTACCCAGCAGTTAACAAATCTGACTGAGTTAGCATGGAGAGCTCAGGAAGACATTGAGTAGGAGAAAGCAAGAAGTGGAACAAAACGGGCAGTGTGATGACACGCATGAGCATTCACAGTTGGGCTCACGTGTGAACTTGAGAAGCAGGAACCGTCCAAGAGAATTCCCCCGGAGCGCAGGCGTGCGTTTGAGAGGAAAGTGAATGTGAGTGCATGTGTGGATACGGATGCGTGGGGAGGGGGGGTACTGTGAGATGACTTAAAGCTGGCGTGTGTGTGTGTGTGTGTGTGTGTGTGTGTGTTACAGCAATAATAAAACGTGAACCTGTATGAATCAGTTTGGGGATGTTGTGCGAATGTGGATGTTTGTTTTGCTCCACGTGCTTTTCTGCACTGTTTGCTTTTCTCTGGCCAAAAGGTGGCTGGTCAGAGTGATGAATGGTCATCTTGAAGCATTAAATCTCACATTCTCCCGAAGTCCCTTGGGGAGAGGTCGAGGGCATCTCCTTCCCTCAGGACGTTCAGCATCAGTATCACGCAGGATTGGCTGAATCTGGAAGTGGGCGGATTGCCCCTGTGCCCACCAGAGCGGCACTAACAAGATTCACATTTGTTTGCTTGTGGCATCAAAGTTTGGAAGCAGGTGATCCAGAGCTGATCTGTGCCACCCAGTGTCGGATTCCAGATCCTCCTGTCTTGTGGCTCTGCCATGGGGGCTTTGATTCTTCACCCCCGGCCAAGAGGGCTGCCCCAGCCGTCGGCGTCTACACCCGCATACCCTGGCAGGAATAGAAAAGGGAGGCATTTCCTAGATGCCAGAGAAAGTTCTTCCTACGTCCACGAAATTGGCCAGGATGTCTCACCTGCTTACCCTTAGCTGCAAGGGAGGCTAGAAAGCTTATTTTCACGCAGATGTTGATTACGATGAACTCCTTAGAACTGCCTGTGCTGTATTCCTTAAGTTTTGGTGTGTTCTGTTTCCATTTTTGTTTGAAGATATTTTAAATTTCTTTTTCGACTCGTTGTCTAGAAGCATGTTGCTTAATTTCCACATACTTAGTAAATTTCCAGAATTCTCATTTTATACTTATGTGGTTGGAAAATACACTTGATAAGATTTCTGTATTCTTAAGTTTGCTATGGCTTGTTTCGTAGCCTATCATAGTTTATTTTGAAGAATGTATGCCTTGCAGCTTTTTTGATGGTTTGTGTATGTCTGTTATTTTGTCTAAAGTATTCAAATTCAGTGTTTCCTTACTGATTTTTCTGTCTGGAAATCTGTCCATTGTTCAAAGTGTGGTATAAAATGCCCTATTATTGTTCATAATGTATCTCTTCAAGTCTATTAATATTTGCTTTCTTAGGCACTCTCATGTTGAGTGCATATGAATTTATAATTATTTTGTTGATGAATTGACCCATTAATCATTATGTAATGTGGTCTTCTTAGTCTCTTATACAGTTTTCATTTAAAGTCCATGCTATCTGATGTCAGTGTGGTGACCTTGTGTCTTTTGGTTTCTGTGTTTTATAGATTATCTTTTTCCACCCCCTCACTTTGAATCCACATGTGTCCTTAGAGGTGAAGTATATCTCTTGTAGACAACATATAATTGAGTCTTAACTTTTTATTTTATTTTTGCCTATTCAGTCACTTAATGTTCTGTTTTTATTTTTTAAAGATTTATTTATTTATTTGAAAGAGTTACAGAGAAAGATGGAGAGACAGAGAGGTAGATTTCCAGCCCCTGGTTCATTCCCCAAGTGGCTGCAACAGCCGGGCTGGGCCAGGCCGAAGCCAGGAGTTCATCTAGGTCTCCCGTTGGGGTAGCAGGGGCCCAAGCACTTGGACCATCCTCTGCTGCTTTCCCCGGGCCATTAGCAGGGAGTTGGATGGGAAATGGAGCAGCCAGGATGTGGAAGTGGTACCCATAAGGGGGTACTGGCATCACAGGCGGCAGCTTTACCCACTGTGCTCGCAATGCTGGCTCCTGCCCAGTGTTTTTGATTGGAGAATTTAATACATTTTTGTTCAAGGTAATTATTGAAAGGTAAAGAGCTACTGTTACTTTGTTAAGTGTTTTCTGGTTGCTTTGTAGCTTCTTCGTTCCTTTCTGGTTCTCTTGTGATCAGATAATTTTCTTTAGCAGTTTGCTTTGGGTTCTTTTTGTCTCTGCCTGTTTCCTCTAGGTGTCTGCTCTGTGGTTACCATGAGGCTTGTGCGAAGAAAACTTGTAATGGGCTGTTGCAAGCTGTCCACAGCTTAACTCTGATTACATTGAAAGTACATTTTGCTCCTTTTATGTTTTTGATGTCATAATTTATCTTATGTATTCCTTAACAATGATTGTAGTTATAATTTTAATAGTTTTATCTTTTAGCATCCATAAAGATATACATGATTTATATACCACTATTACTATATTAGAGTTTTTCAGAAATTGTATATTTTACCCACAAGTTTTACACTTTCTTGTTAGTAATCAAAATTCTTTAAAAAATATTTTTTTGACAGGCAGAGTGGACAGTGAGAGCGAGAGACAGAGAGAAAGGTCTTCCTTTGCCGTTGCTTCACCCCCCAGTGGCCGCTGCGGCTGGCATGCTGCGGCCAGTGCACCGTGCCGATCCGAAGGCAGGAGCCAGGTGCTTCTCTTGGTCTCCTAAGCGGGTGCAGGGCCCAAGCACTTGGGCCATCCTCCACTGCCTTCCCGGGCCATAGCAGAGAGCTGGACAGGAAGAGGAGCCCTGACTGGAACTAGAACCCGGTGTGCTGGCGCCACAGGCGGAGGATTAGCCTAGTGAGCTGCAGCCTAAAATTTTTTAAAAAATTTATTTACTTGAGGTAGAGTTACAGACAGTGGGAGAGAGAGAAAGGTCTTCCTCCACTGGCTTACTCTCCAAGTGGCCAGAATGGCTGGAGCTGGACTGATCCTAAGCCAGGTGCCTGGATCTTCTTCCAGGTTTTCCATGCGAATGCAGGGGCCCAAGCACTTGGGCCATCTTCTGCTTTCCCAGACCATACCAGAGAGCTGGATCAGAAGTGGAGTAGCTGGGACTAGAGGACTAGATCAGGTGCCCATATGGGATGCCAGTGCAGCAGGTGCAGGCTTAGCCCACTATGCCACAGAGCCAGCCCCTAATTAACATTCTTTTATCTCAGATTGAAGAATGGACTGTCACATTTCTTGTAAGGCAAGCCTAGTGGGACAAATCTCTCATGTTTTCTTTGGGAAAGTCTTTATTCTTCGAGAAGGACAGCTTTGTCCGGTAGAAATGCTGTGTGGCTGGTGGCTTCCTTCCCTTCGGTACTCTGAATGTATCAGCCAGTTCTCTCTGGCCTGTCAGCTTTCTGCAGAGAACTCTGCTGCTGGCCCTGTTAAGAATCCCTTATGTGAAATGCTTTTGTTTATTCTTGCTGCTGTAAAGATCCTCTTTTCATTGTTCTTGTCCTTTGTTTATTGAAAATATTATGGCATACCAGAAAGACTCAACTTCATGTGGTTTGAAATTCATACCAGCTGTAGCTGAGTGACCTGAGTGTCGGACAGACTCCAGATTCCAGAGACGTTAGCCTTCCCTGGGATCAGGATGCCTGGACTTCCGTGATCTCCTGATCTAGGGCTGAGGCCCGGGGAACATGATTCTCTCTCCTTTCTCTGACCTCTTCCTGCAGCTTGATGGAGACCTCTCGCAGGGTCCCTATGTCTGCGTCCTCAGATGTGACCGCCCGCTGTCGTCCTGCAGAGCTGCTCGCTGGGATGGTGGCCATCTCCCACGTGCAGTTCTCAGTGTGGCAGTTGTTGCTCAGGCGGGTGTAGTGCTCCCCAGTGATGACACAGGCCACTTTCTTCCTGGTTTTGGTGTGAACGTGACCTGTGTTGGTGAGTCCTGAGAGGGGAGAGAGGAGAGGTTAGGAGAGCAGAGTCCTCTTTTTTGTCTTTGATTTGTCTTGGTGTAGGCTGGTTTGGATTGTTTGTGGTTGGAGGCTATGTTAGTCTACCTTTATGGAATAAAGTACCTGAGGGAGTTTTTGGGAAAGCAAAGGTTTATTTCTGCTACAGTCTGGATTCCAAGGTCAGGAGGCCCTGTAGTCAGCATCTGGAGAAGGCTGGTTATGGTGGGTGTGGTGGCAGTTACCGAGTCTTGAACCAGGAAGCAGATAGCCTAGGCCGGGCTCGAACAGAAACACTCAAAGATCTCATGGGAACCAAGTTACTGGGCCTATCCCCAGTAACCCAAATACCTCCCACTGGCCCAGCCCCTCAGTCTCCATTATTAGATCAGGTCTCCGCCCTTAATCAATCATCTGTGAACAGTAAGACCTTTAAATTTAAGCAGTTTGGAGAGACAAATCCTCCTCAGCCTATAACAGAGACCTTTGACCTTCCCATACCTTTCCTATACCTGGAAACTTACCCTTCTCCAGGTTTGGGAAGTTTTCAGTTATTATTTCCTTATATAAACCTTCTGTCCTTTTGTTGTCTCTCTTCTTGAATTCTCGTAATTCAAATATTTCTTCTAATAACTGTGCCATTGTCCTGTAAGTGTTCATTTTTTTAATATTTATGTATTTATTTGAGGGTAGACTTACAGAGAGAGGGACAGACACAGAGAAAGGTCTTCCGTTTGCTGGTTCACTCCCCAAATGGCTACAACAGCTGGAGCTGAGCTGATCTGAAGCCAGGAGCCAGGAGCTTCTGGGTCTCCCATGTAGGTGCAGAGGCCCAAGGACTTGGGCCACCTCCTGCTGCCTTCCCAGGCTATATCAGAGAGCTGGATTGGAAGAAGAGCAGCTGGGACATGAGCCAGTGCCTATGTGGGAGCAGGTGCTGCAGGTGGAGGTTTAGCTACTATGCCATGGTGCTGACTCCTCTTCATTTCTTTTTTAAAAAAGATTTATTGGTTTAGTTGAAAGAGTGACAGAGGGGGAAAGACAGATCTCCTTCTGCTCGTTCACGTCTCAAGTGGCTGCAACAGCCAAGTCTGCTCCAAGCCAAAGCCAGCAGCCAAGAGCTCCACCATGTTTCCCATATAAATGCCAGGAGCCCAAGTTCTTAGGTCTTTTTCTACTGCCATTCAGGATGTATTAGCAGGAAGCTGGCGACTGAGGCTTGAACCAGTGTTCCAGTATGGGATCCTGGTATCGCAGACAACAGTAGCTTCACCTGCTGTGCCACAGTGCTGGTTCCTTTTCATTTCTTTCTATTCCATTTTCTTTTTTCTCTTCTAACTGTATGTTTTCAAATACACAGTTCATGGATTTTTTTTGTTTGATGCATTCTATTTAAACTCACTGTTGCATTTTTCATTTCATTCATTATATTTTCAGCTTCAGATTTCCACCTTTTTGTTTATGACTTGAATCTCTTGTTGAAATTCTCATTTTGCTCATTTATTGCTCTCCTGATTTCACTGATTTTTTTCCTCTGTATTTTTTGAAGTTCACAAAGAATTATTTGGAATCATTATTGGAAAGTTTGTATATCTATAACTTGGGGGTTCTACTAGGAGGTTATTAGTTCCTTTGGTGGTGATATTTTTCCGGATTTCTTGTTGTTACTCTGATGCACACTGATGGAGCAGTGAGCTTTTCCAGATGTCGTGGGATGGTTTCGCTGTGGGATGAACTTCCCCTGTGTGGGAGGGAGATGAAGGGTGACCGCTGCCTGGCTGTAACGGTCTGGCAGCAGTGAGGGGAAACCGTGCAGCGTCTCTGCCGCTGTCAGCTGCGGTCACTGCTGCCCAGTGTAGGAACGTTTGCACTTGTGGGGAGAGCTGCTGGGCTTCATCGGTGATGGCTGCTTGTCTCTTGAACTTCATTGGTGGTGGTTACTAATCTTCCAGTCTCTTTCCCTCACCAAGGGAGCTGTGGCTAACGAGAGCTCCTTGGTATTGGGTCCAGCTCGTGGGCCCACTCATATTGGCTGTTGCACTAGTATCAGATGACACTTGTCGTCATGCTGAACCCTGAAGCATAGCTCTGAAGTTCTTGGCTCTGGGATCACAATGGCCCTGGTGCTCAGGGTGCAGACACCCCTGCCTCTGTGTTGGTTACGGTATGTGAGGCACAGAACAAGGACACTCCCGTTTGTCGTTGAGGGGTAGGAGTGAGAGAGAGAGACAGAGAGACAGACACAGATAGACAGACAGTGAGTACAATCCTGTTTATGTCTTCATTCCTCAGATGTCTGCAGTGGCTGGGACTGTGCTAGGGCTGAATCCAGGAGCCAGAGCCTTCATCCAGGTCTGCTGTGCAGGTGGCAAGAGCGTGCTACTTGAACCGTCACTGCTGCTTCCCCAGGATCTGTGGGTGTGAGCTGGAGTCAGGAGCTTGAGGCAGGAGTGAACCCAGGCTCTCTGATGTGGGACGTAGGCACCGTAACCACGAGGCTCAATACCACTCCCTGAGCGAGTGCTTTGGAAGCAGCCGGAAACCATCGATGGGAGCACAGGTGTGGTCATAGCTAGAGTGGCTCGAGGGCCAGGGTGGGACATGGTTCTCTGCGGTGGCTGAGCTGGTACCCAGAGCGTAGGCATGTGCAGGAGACCTGGGCTCTGGGACCTGAGGTATAAGATAACTTACCGTGGTGGTGGGTGGAGTGTCTGAGCCGTGGGCACGTGCGGCGGAGCCACAGAGCTGGGGTCTGGAGTCTGGAGTCATCGGCTGTGGGTTGGATTTCAGGGGCTCATCTGAGAGGAGAGGTGGTGGCTCTGATGCTGGAGTGGCACAAAGACAGCTGCTGCCGGGACGGGAGTTCCCCAGCCAAGGGCTCACCCTGACTAGGGCTCCCTAACAGTGGCAGCTGCTGGTTACCTCACTGCAGAAGACACCCGTGTCCTCTGTGGAGCCACTGGGGACCGGCACGGTTCCTGCCGCAGAGCCGATGCCGGCAGCCTCTGCCTCTCTTCTTTGTCCCTGGCTGTCTCAGCAGTGGGTCTCACCCACACTCATTTTCGTCTGGGTACCCCTCCCCTCCCCTCCCATCCTCTCCCCTCCCCTCCCCTCCTCTCCTCTTTGGGTCTGTTTTGCATGTGGTCTTTTTGTTTTGTTTTTGGTTTTTGACAGGCAGATTTAGACAGTGACAGAGAAAGAGACACAGAGAAAGGTCTTCCTTTGCCGTTGGTTCACCCCACAATGGCCACTGCGGCCAGCGTGCTGCGACTGGCACACCGCGCTGATCCGAAGCCAGGAGCCAGGTGCTTCTCCTGGTCTCCCATGCGGGTGCAGGGCCCAAGGACCTGCGCCATCCTCCACTGCCTTCCCGGGCCACAGCAGAGAGCTGGCCTGGAAGAGGAGCAACCGGGACAGAATCCGGCGCCCCAGCCAGGTCTAGAACCCGGTGTGCCGGTGCCGCAGGTGGAGGATTTGCCAAGTGAGCGGCGGCGCTGGCCTTGTATTATGTGGTCTTACTGAAGATTCTTTAATGAGCCTTTGGGCCTTCCCAGGGCTATTTTAGTTTGTGGATAGCTGTTCATATTTGTCTTCCTTTGGAATCATGAAAGCTGGTCTCTTGGTCACCCCCATCCTGATGCCACTCTACCCTTACTTTTTTATTTTTATTTTTGACAGGCAGAGTGGACAGTGAGAGAGACAGGGAGAAAGGTCTTCCTTTACTGTTGGTTCACCCTCCAATAGCCACTATGGCTGGAGCACTGCAGCTCACGCACCGTGCTGATCTGAAGCCAGGAGCCAGGTGCTTCTCCTGGTCTCCCATACGGGTGCAGGGCCCAAGCATTGGGCCATCTTCCACTGCACTCCTGGGCCACAGCAGAGAGCTGGCCTGGAAGAGAGGCAACCGGGACAGAATCCGGCGCCCTGACTGGGGCTTGAACCCAGTGTGCCGGCGCCGCAGGCGGAGGTTTAGCCTAGTGAGCTGTGGCACCGCCCTACCCTTACTTCTGATGTTGATTTCTCCTTCCTAACTTTTCTTGTGGAGGGAGAGATTCCTTTATGATCACTTTGAAAGAAGGTCCTTGTAAACTTTCTGGAGAATTGCTGTCTAGTATGTAGCCACCGTCCACAAACGGCTACTAGGCACTTAAAGTATATTTAGTCTACATGTGATGTAGGTATCAATGCGCTCCAGATTTGTAAGACCTAACACAACCTCCCCACCCAGGATGTAGTGTTAGCTTAACCCCAAATTTGTCAGCTCTCTTTATGCTGCTTCTAGGTTTCTACTTTTACAGTTTGTCAACAAAAAAGTCATGAATTGCTCAGGTCTGCGTGGTGTGCATGAAGGGCTCTGAGCAGTGCCGGGAGGTTCCACTAAGAACAGAGACGTGAGCTGTAGTATGCAGACATTGAATTATCTAGAAGCTGCACAGAGAGTTTGGGTCTGTTGGGTTCTGGGGATACTCCTGGACAGTTGAGGCTTCTGTGTAAGGGCACCCTGGGCAAGGATGATGCCACAGCCTTTCTCCATGAAGGAGGATGGTGTTTTTACACGTAATAAACTTGAGTCAAAATAATTGTGGGAGAACTTGGGTTGGGATCCAACACTCAGGTGGAGAAGGCATGCTGGAACCTGGGCACTAGTTTGAGACCACAGAAGGAATCAGGTCAGGGCATGACCAGGTGGGTGGAGCCACTGGGAGGGTGCTGTGTGGATGAATACATACTAGCCCCATGCAGCTTGCTCAGTAATGAAGTAGACCCGGGGGACATTAACCAAGACTTCAAGCACTTATAAATGTGGGTGTTAAGTACATTATTATTAAGGAGTCTAACCACAGGGAGGCATCATGGGAGACTCACACACTTGGGAAAGTGGAATAAAAATGGCAACACTATTTGTTTCCGTGGGAAATGAGGGTATTACATACAAGTCAAAGATTGCAATCTCAAGTTCAAAGCCAGGCTTCAGGGTCCTGGTATTGTATTACTCAATCTGAAGACAGAGAAGAGATTACTAGACACGTGAGTGGGTAGGGGAGGATAGAGGAAGTTTGGATAACGGGTACCAATTCAGGGTTAGACCAGCAGAATGAGTTCCTGGTGTTATTTGGCATAGTGGGGAGACTGTGGTTCGTGTGGGCAAGTGGAGGAGGGATGCTTCAGGGCTCCGGTGATAATGTCTAGGAAGAGGAAGTGTTGGTGACCCTGATTTGATCAGGACACTGCACACATGTATTGAAATGTTACACTGTGGCCCAAAAGTGTGTACAAGTATTATAAAGAATGAAAAAACTCAAAAACCAAGTTTGGCTTATATGTAAATATGACTTTTTTTTCCCTAGGGAGAGGACCCAAGACTCAGAGTCGTGATCTGCTGATCATGGTTTATTCACCCAATCACTAAGATTTCCCTCTCCAGCAACTTAGAAGTGTTTCTGGGGGGCAAGGATACCCCTCCAGAGGACGGCACCTGTCCTTCAGCTTTTTTATTTGAATGGCGGAAGTGGGCGAAGGGCTCTTCCATCTGCTGGTTCACTCCCCCGTGGGCCAGGCCAAAACCAGAAGCCCAGAACTCCGTCTGGGTCTCTCACATGTCTGGCAGAGGCTCAAGTACTTGGACCATCATCTGCTGCTTTCCCAGGTGCATCAGCAGGGAACTGGATGGGAAGCCGAGCAGCCGAGACTCAAACTGGTACTCGGATATGGTATGCCAGTGTTCCAAACAGAGGCCTAACCTGTGCCACAACACCAGTCCCCGTTCTTGAGTTTATAAAGAGAGTAGACTGCATCTAAATCAGCTGTTGTCAACTGTGTCAGTTAAAGTGATTTGGAGGTATTTATGCAGAGCCTGCATACAATGCCTGATGCGAGTGATCACCCGTACCGGTTAGAGACTGCTCTCCCCTGCTTCCCAAGACCGTGACTGGATGCACTCCTCTTCTGTCAGCCACCACTTTCCAGTCACCTCTGGGTATCTCGACTCCCCTAATCTGTTGTGTACTTTTATGAGATGCTGTCTGGGTGAGGGGCTAAGGGTGCATAGCAGCCATTTTGCTTAAAGCCTGTGGCTTCACTGAGATCTCTCTCCTTTCCTGGTTGTGTTTCTGCCCAACAGCTGAGCCTGGCTTAGTCTGGGCGTTGCTCTGCTGTGTTAGAACCGGGCAGCTCAGGTGCAGCAGTAACCTTTGGAGACTGGAATATGTTTCTGCAAAATGGAGTCAAAGGTTTGCTGTTCTTTCCTCATCCCACTCACAGCCCTCCACTGCTGCCCTTCATCGTCCGCGGTCTCTGAGGGTTGCCTGAGGAGGTCGCGATGTCTTTCTGGTCGTATGCATTCAGCGGGGTTAGTCCCAGCTCAGCCCACTCAGAAGTCCCACCGGTTTCTGTGATTGCATTGAAGAGTTCCCTTGGAGGCTTCGGCTGACTTTGCTGGAGTGGAAGCTCCCCCAGGGCCCATCTTCGTCTTGTCCACTCTTGTCCTGAGTGGGGAAGAGACAGCCTGGCACACACAAGGCACTCAAGCAGTGGTTGAATGAGTGAACTACATGTGGGAAAGCCTTCGGTTGGCAGAGGTGGAGGCTCACCGGGCCTCCTGGGTAGCGAGTGGAAGCACAGAAGTCGCCAGACTGAACCCTGAGTTCCCCTTGGATGACCTGGCTAAATCGGATTTTCTGAAAGTAAGAGCTTCTCTTCGGCAAACAGAGTAAAGTGGGGAGGAGCTGCTCGCATCCTGCGTAGCTGGCAGAGTGCTCGGATCTAGACTACCTGAAGAATCTCATAGAAGAAAGAGCAGAGGACTTCGACACTGATGAGAGTATGTCCAAACGGCCAAGCACATGGACAGGCTGCTGATGTCACTGCCCACCAGGGATCCATAAATCAAACCGTCGTAAACCCCGCTCACAAGAATGGGGAAAACCACAGCACCCCACACCCCAGTTCCTTGGTTAAGAATTTCTTTCCTAACTATCATAAACATAGTTTGTTATTTTTGAATCAGAAATATTGAAGACCTTATAAAGTTTTGTTATTTATTTAACGACAAAGTGACAGAGCATGAGAGGAACAGACAGGGAGAAAGCCGCCTTCCATCTGTTGGTTCACTCCCCAAATGGCCCCGATGACCAGGGCTGGGCCAGGCTGAAGCCAGGAACAAGGAACTCCATCTGGGTCTCTCGTGGGTGGCAGGGGCCCAAGCACTTGGATCATGTTCCACTGCTTTCCCAGGTGCATTAGCAGGGAGCTGGATTAGAAGCAGAGCAGCTGGGACTCGAACCAGTGCTCCAGTGTGAGATGCCTGTGTTGTAGGCAGTGGCTTCACCCACTGAGCCACAACGCCAGCCCCAAAGATGTGTGTGTGTGTGTGTGTGTGTGTGGATTTTCAGTATGTCTGCAGCCTATTTTTGTGGGTTATATAAAGTAAAAATCTCACGTTCGTCACACAGATTTCCCTACTTCTGTTATTAAATAGCATGTTCCTTACCAGCTGCCCTTTAATACCACTGCTGCTACGTGCCAAGTTGTTGTATGTGTGGACGCATTTCTGGGCTGGCCTTATTCTGTTTTTCTGTTCCTGCACCAATACCACAATGTTTTATTTATCACAGTTTATTATTTTTGATATAAAAATGCCTTCCCAGGGTGGATATTTGACTTCTCAGTGAGGCCATGGTTTGGGATGCTTGTACCCCATATCCCAGTGCCTACATTTGGGTCTCAGCTCTGCTCCTGATTCCAGCTCCTTGCTGGTGACCATCCTGGGGGGCCGTGGGTGACAGCTCAAACAGTTGGGTCCTTGCCACTCACATGGGAGACCTGGGTCCAATTCCTGTCTTTGGCTCAGCCTGGCGAAGCCATCTGGGCATTTGGGAAGTGAAACAGCAAATGGGAAATCAGTCTGTCCGATGAATAAAATAAATTTTAAGCAATGAAGGACCTTTGCCTTTAATCTTATTTATGCCTCCCTGTTGCCTTCTGTAGAAAACAAAAGTCTAAACTGTTTAATTGAACAGTCAAGGCCTGTTGTGGTCTGACCTTCACCCACTCTGTTCTCCAGCCGTTGTGTTGTCTGCTTAAAGTGGTCCAAGTGCATCTGCGTGTGCTCTGTCTTCTAACTACGTTACCTGTCTCCCACGGCTCCTCTGTGCGTCCTTTAAAACTCACTCAGATTTATTTCCTGCAGGAAGCCTTTACCCAGGCAGCCGTGGGTGTCCCTCCCCCCCCCCCCCCGAGCTCCCGTGACGCCTGTACTTGCCCTCATCGTCGTGTAATCCCACCGTGCTGTGACTGTTGATTTACTGCTGTTTCCCCCACAGCACTGTGTTCCTTGAAGCCAGGACTGTGACTCACGTAACCTTGTATTCCTGGAATATCATCAAAATCAGAGTTCTCACTTCAAAGGGAGATTAAAAGGTCAGCCACAGGCTGGGAGAAAGTATGCATCTAACAAAGGGTGTGTGTCCAAAGTACAAAAAGAACGCTAAAATGCAGCAATTAGCATAGAAGCATTAAAGTGTTTAAAAATGATCAAAAGATCTTCACAGGTATTGCACAAAGTAAAATGCACATGGCCAATATTTAGCTGAAGAGGCACTGGACTTTGGTAGTAATCGGGAAATGCACATGGCAAGATGACACTCCCAAATGCCGCTCGTAGGCATTTACCCAAGGGAAAGGAAATAGATGCTCACACGGAGATCTGGAGGCAAGTGTTCGTGGCAGCTTTGTTCATAATGGCTGGCATTATTCAGCTTGTATACTCACAATACTTTGCATATTTCTCTTAAACTTCAGTTAGAAGGTTTTTAATTGTTGAATGACCATCACTGAACAAGAGAAGTTAATGGAATGCTGAGAATTAAGAACCCAGGGATCTGCACAGCCTTGGCCGCTAAGGAAGTATGTAGGTTGGAGTGGTCAGTGTGGCCTGGAGTGGGCCCAGAGAGCTTCCTGGATGGGGCAGAGTGTTAGAGCAGCCTCAGAAGGCAGCTGGGCTTCGGGTGAAAGGGGAGAGAGCTCTTCACACCAGATAAAAAAAATCCCCCTTGAGAAGTGGATGGGTGATCATAGCTGGTGCTTTCCCAGGGACGTCTTCCTGGCCAGCACGGTGTAGCTCTTGAAAGAAACCATTAAAATAAGTTTCTGCAAGGTGTAGTGGGTGTAAAGAGAAGCAGACCTTCCTGTCTGATTCCAGTGAAAACGCTTGCTTCTCTGAGCCTCGGTTTCTCCATCCGTAAGCTGAAGACAAATAATGCCACTTCAGGGGGAGTTAAGTGTGACAACTGGAATCAAAATGTTGGCTTAAAAAAAAAACCCTCCGGGGGACAGCTCTGCGGATAAAGCCGTAGCCTGCAGTGCCGGCATCCCATATGGCTCTGGTTCGAGTCCCGGCTGCTCCTCTTCCCATCCAGCTCTCTGTTATGGCCTGGGAAAGCAGTAGAAGATGGCCCAAATCCTTGGACCTCTGCACTGGCATGGGAGACCCGGAGGAAACTCCTGACTCCTGGCTTCAGATGTGGCCAATTGGAGAGTGAACCATCGGATGGAAGACCTCTGTCTGTCTCTGCCTTTCCTCTCTCTATGTAACTCTGACTTTCAAATAAATAAATGAATCTTAGAAAGAGCCCCAGGGCCTTCAGTAGACCCTGCACAAACAGTGCATTGTAACTCGGGTTTAAGACAGGCAAGCCTTTGCTGGACCTCCTCCCCTCGAGGGCCTGCGGGGACGGTGGTAGGTACATGAAGAGTGGACTTCAGGCTGCCTGTCCCAGGTTGGAGCCGCTGTTGGTGAGCACAGAGGTGGAGGCATCCGTGCTGGTGCTTCACAGGGAGGAGTGGAGTGGGCCCGTGCTCCTCCTGCAGCTTATTAATTTAATTCCCTCTGGCTGCTGCATGCTTTGCCTAGAGATGAGGCAGCGCTTTTATCTGAGGACGAGAAGCCAGCTCACAGTGGGCTCGTGGGTCCCCTGATGCCAAAAGTGCTGGTTTGTTAGACTCTGCTAGGCTGCTTCCTCCTGGGAAGGCCTGGAGCTGCAATGTCCTGAGTTGCAAGAATCCCAGGGAACCAGAGATGGGGGCAAACTCGAAACTTCAATTGCCAAATGCACTGCTTCTTGGAATCTTACAGCCTCTTGCTTGGTCTTGGAGCAGCTGAAAATGAGGCTAAGTTGTTTAGGTTGCATTGTCTCCCTGCCTCCAGACTCTTGCCTGTCGCCCTAATACCACAGCGGGACCTTCTAAACTGGGAATATGAGCTCCAGTGCAGGCCACACGGTTTTCCCAGAAGTCCGGTCTTGGAGAGTGCGGGAAGCAGAGACCATTGAGAGGTTGCTGAGAGCGGGGTGATGGCAGCCCATGCAAAGGCAGAGGCTGCTGACAGTGAGGAGTGAGCCAAACCCACAGGAAGTAAAGAGGAATAAGTAGGAGTGAAGTCAAATTAGCAGGAAATAAAGTAGAATCAGTAGGAAGCAAGGTTGAATCAGTGGGAACGAAGTCAACAGGAAGAAAGTCGTCTGGCTGGGTCGATGAGGGAGGAGTAAGGCAAAGGAGGACCAGAGCATCTCTTCTCGGGTTCTTTCCTGGGAACCTGGTGGATGGATTGCCGCTTACTGTGAGGTGGGAGGAGGCGGCGGAGGTTTCCGTTATCTGCTCCCCTCCCCAGCCCCGGGAACCTTGGGGAGAGTCTGATGCAGTTTATCTGACAATACAATGCCAGAAGCCAGAGCCGGGGCCTGGGGAAGTCATGGGAAGGGAAGAATGCCATGGAGGAGGCCGCCGCCCCTAGTGCCTGCTGCTGCTCCCCAGGAACCTCCTGGGTCACTGTAAGGCCCAGCACCGTCCTCTTGGTGAAGAAAGTGGGGGCGTCGCCTTGTGTCCTTGATGAAGAGCTGTCCACGCGGTGTTAACCTCCCACACTTCGGATTGTGCAGGTCTGCCCAGGACGGTGATATCCACGAAAGAAGCCCTGGGATAGGGCCAGGAGACGAGAGACCAGACGTGGGACAGGGTGCTGCCAGATGACGCCTGCGCTCGGCCCGACGGAACTGGCCATCCCATCGCAGCAGTGCCAGACGAGGTAAGCTGAGGCCGAGGGCATGGCCAAGGCCAAGGGCGTGGCACTCCACCTTGGCGAGGTGTGCAAGAGGAGTCCAGCACACCGCTCAAGGTTGATTCTGTTACGATAGAAGACACATTATTCCTGCCCTCAAGGGGCCCGCACTCTCACAGGGAGGACAGGTGCACGTGCTGCCTGCGTCCCAAGGTGCTGAGTACGCCGTTGGTGATGAACGCACCATTAGCGCCAGTCGCTGTACCTGCTGATGTGGGGCCGCAGCCTGTTTCAGGCGTGTGCCTTGCTGTGTTTGTGACTGCTAGCAGTCTTGTGGGGGATGCTGTTCCCCTCTTACCACAGGTGACAGGCTGTGCAGCTGTATGTTGGTAAGCAGTGGAGCCAAGTGCAAACGTTTTGAACCCTTTGGGGTTGTTGAAGGAAGCGGGTGCTGGGTCTGATGGTGGAGGGGGCAGATCAGCCGTGAGCTGTCTTCAGTGATGCCCTTGGTACACAGTGCAGTTTTCGCAAAGGCATTTACTCCACGGTTGAAAATCAGTCCTGATAGCAAGGCAGGAGTGACCGATGTCACGTTGGTTGTACTGAAGAGGAAGCACTCGCAGACGGGTTAAGTGTTTCCCAGGTCAGCGGGCCTGCTGCAGGCCTCACACGTCACTGCCTCTGCTCTGTGGGTGGGTGGCCTGCTTCGGAGGGGTGGGGGATGACCAGCAGGGCCTGGGGTCATTGCCGTTCCCACGTGTCTCACGCAAGCCGGGCGCCAGCAAGAGGCTTAGGTTTCCCTCAGTGATTTCCTCCCTCTCCAGGGGTTTACTTCAGGCTTCAGGGAAAATGGATTCCTCAGAGCTGAAAGCAAGTGCTGCTCACATTATATAATTATTATAGTATTATTATAATGCCCTGTATCTCCGTCCTGGTGTGGGGTGGAGAGGGAGTTGTTCTCCAGGCTATGTCCCTTGGGCCTTTCTCCCAGCAAGGCAGCCACGCGCCCTGGGGTGGGCACCGAGCCTGTGACAGCAGCCACCTCAGAAAGCAGGCACTTGAAACCACCTGTGTCGCAAGTGGGAGCTTCCTGGGGAGCGGAGTCTGGATTCTCACTGTCCAGGGTGGGTGGGCCTGGCTGGGCCGAGACCATGAACTAGGTAAGCCCATGGGATCACTAGAGTGCTGGGTGGACAGGCTGGGGTGGGGGTGTCCTGGCCAGGCCTCTGAGGGCCTAGGTTTGAATTCCGTTCTCCGTGTACTCACTGGAGCCCCGGAGGACTCCGTTCCTGTCTCTGAGTCCCAGTTCTCTCCGCAGCTTAACAGTTAAGGGTGTGGACCGTGGAGCTGGGTGTGTGTGGGTTTGAATCCTGAACCAGCTGAGTGAGCTTGGACAACCCACCTGACCTCTCATCGCTCAGCCTCCTCGTCTGTGGCTAGGAGACCAGAAGAAGGGCAGTCGGGAGGTGAGATGAGGTGCCATTGGTCAGGTGCCGAGGAGCGGGCCTGGCACACAGCAGTGCACTGAGTGTGATGGGAATAGGCGATCACTCAGCCTTTCCCTGAGGTTGCTGTGGGATCACCTGGAGTCTCTGTAGATCCAGGTGTCCCACGTGGGTGGCAGGAACCCAAGTGCTTGAACCATCACCACCACCTCCCAGGGTGCACATTAGCTGGAAGCTGTAATTAGACGTGGAGCCAGGATTTGAATCAGGTGGTCTGATATGGATGCAGACATCCAAGCAGCACCTTAACTGCTGTGCCAAGTGCACCCCAGCCCCCGCCATTCACTTTGTGTTCTCCAAAGTGCAGAGGTCAGTGCCAGACCTGGTATGGGGGCCAAGAATACTAATCATGGTAGCTAATGTTGCTGTCATCTGAGGGGTCTTCTAAGAATTCATGGAAAATGTGCATTGTGAAAAAACCGCATGGATTTCATTTTTTCCACCAAAATAAACATCTTTCAGTTCCATTTTTCTGTGACTGTTTTGGGGTCCCCTCTGTGCTTGCAAGGTACCAGGCTCCATGTGCTCCTCTCTGCAGCTCTGTGATTGACATCCCCGTTTGGTAGAGGAGAAGACCAAGTCCTGCAGAGGTTAAGCGACTTACTCGGAGTCTCGCACGTAAACGAGGTCGGGGATTCGAGCCCAGCAAGTCTGGCTCCAGGGCTGTGCTTTGTAACCGCTGGCGGGGTGGCCCTCTGGGGGAGTGCATGGAGCTTGGGGTTGCGTTGGAGCTGGACTGAACGGGGCTTTTGTTATGTTCTCCCCGCCATCCACCCCCACCCCCGAGTTGTTCTGCAGGCAACAGGAACCCAAAGGGTGTTGCGACCACAGCTTGACCCTGAGTCCATTCTTTTGTTGTTGTTGTTGTTTTTAAAGATTTATTTATTTGAAAGGCAGAGTAACAGAGAGGCAGAGGTAGAGAAAGAGAGAGGTCTTCCATCTGCTGGTTCACTCCCCGAAATGGCCACAACAGCTAGAGCTGCACTGATCGAAAGCCAGGAGCCAGGAGCTTCTTCGGGGTCTCCCTCACGAGTGCAGGGGCCCAAGGACTTGGGCCATCTTCTAAGAGCTGCATGGGAAGTGGAGCAACCGGGTCTTGAACCGGTGCCCATAGGGGATTCTGGCACTACAGGTGGCAGCTTTACCCACTATGCAACAGCGCCAGCCCCAGCATTTTAGTTTTTATCTCTCAAAATTTTTGGCAGCCATGTAAAAACTGAGCCTAATTCTGGATAACTATGTGATGTTTCATTACTTGTATCCACTGCGTAATTTCTAGTCAGGATAAATACAGCTATTGTTTCAAGCATTTAACATTTCTTTATAGTGAAAGCCCAATTCCTGTCTTGTAGGTTTTCAAAATCGAGAAATACACAGTACATTAGCACTATCTGTAGTCACCCCCGGAACCACGGGACTACTTCTATCTAGCTATCACCCAGTACTCATCAACCTTTCCCCAACCCACCCCCTTGTTTCCTGCCCCACCTCCAACCTCTGGTAGCACAGCCGTGTGGTCGGAGGGTGGAGGAGACCTTGGATTCCCAGGTGCTGTCACCTGCCTTTCCGAGCAGTGTGCAAGCTTGAAGCCTTTGGAGTGCCACCTGTTTCCTCGTCGGTGACCTTGGGCAGTGTGACCCCTTCTAGGGCCTCAGCATCTCCGTCTCTAACTTGAGGTGATTCCTGGGGTCCTTCTTGTGTGGATAGCCTCTGAGCCCTACTGTTGTCTTCTACAAAGACCTACCGTTGACTTCTCTGTGTCCAAGGCTGTCCCCTGGTCTCTCTTCAAGAGCAGGTAGCATAGCTGGCTGATTCTTCAGTGCAGTGTGCGTCGCCACAGTGAGAACCCAGGATAATACTTTTTGCTGTGCTAAACACAGCTCTTTTTTTTTTTTTTTTAAAAAGTGTAAAAAGTAAGTGCCTGCTAGAATGTTGATTTGGGGGCTGGCACTGTGGCATAGTGGGTTAAAGCCCTGGTCTGCAGTACTGGCATCCCATATGGGCGCTGGTTGGAGTCCCAGCTGCTCCACTTCTGATCTAAAGCTCTCCGCTTTGGGCTGGGAAAGCAGTGGAAGATGGTTCAAGTCTTTGGGTCCCTGTACCCACATGGGAGACCCAGAAGAAGCTCCTGGCTTCGGATCGACGTAGCTCCGGCCATTGCGGCCATCTGGGGAGTGAACCAGTGGATGGAAGACCTCTCTCTTGCTCTCTGCCTCTGCCTCTCTGTAACTCTGCCTTTCAAATAAATAAATAAATAAATCTTTTTAAAAAAACAATGTTGATTTTTCCATCCTAATTAAATCTAGGGGAGAATCCTTGCTGAAAAGATGCCAACAAAATGTGTCTCTGAAATTAACTATGATGGCTGAGTCAGCATTGGAAGAGCAATATCTTTTTGACTTGAATAACTTCTGAAGTTCAATTATTCATTCTCTCAACACTCACTCACTATGCTTTTGGACGGTGTGCTAAATGCTGGGGATTTAGAGATGATGATAGTAATGAAAATGGCTCGTGGTAGGTGCCAGGCCCTGAAATAAGTGTTCTTCATCCATCGTCTTAGTCCTAACTCTGTGAGGTGGCTGCTCTTACTCTCCCCATTTCATAGGTGAACCAGCAGGCTGAGCAGGTCGAAGTGACTTAGCCCAGGTAGTAAAAGGCGGGGCCTAGATTCAAGTCCAGTTACTACTCAGTAGTCCAGCAGGGAGACTCCCACTGTGTCTGACATAGAATTAGTGTCGTCTCATGCGAAACTCTTGTGTCTTTATCTTGGGGGTGCAGGGTTACTTTGTCTGGGCAGTGACAGCGTCAGCACAAGTCTCAGACCCCCTGCCGGTCAAGTTGCTCTCCCTGTGAGGTCGTCTGTGGTGACCGTTGTAGAGATACAGGGGGAAATTCACCAGAGCAGCAAAGCTTTCCATGGGGGCGCCAAGGAGAATCCGCTTCACTTGGGGTGGTGGCTTGTAGTAGTTCGCACAGGTAACACTGGCTGCCAAAGCAGACAAGGCCCCCGATTTCAGTAGCTTAGTGCCGTACAAACGGATGTCTCCCTCCAGTGTGGGCACACCGTTAATTGGGGCATCAGCTTGACTGGGCCCCGGGGTGCTCAGATAGCTGTAAACCTTCCTGGGGGTCTGTGGGGGTCTCTGGAGAGATTATATGTGAGTCAGACGGAGCAAAGGAGATGTCCTCCCGAGTGGGTGGACATCATCCAAGCTGTTCAGGGCCCAGACAACAGAAAGATGGAAGAAAGGGGCGTTGCTCCTCTGTTGAGCTGAGCCCTCCATTGTCCTCTGTCCTTGGACGTCAGCACTTCTGGTTCATAGGCCTTCAGCCTCCCAGTTCTGGGCCTTTGATTGCAGCTTACACTACTGGTGCCCTGGTTTTCAGGCCTTCTGACTGGGACGGAATTACGCCATTGGCTTTCCTTGTTCTCAGCCTTGTTGGCTGGAGACTGTGGGACTTCTCAGCCTCCACAATCCACCCCACCGCCCCTCCATCCTACTGTTCTCTGGACACTCC